ATACAAAATTCTTGAAAAAGTGCTATTGTCAAATATGATGCCTGAAAATACGGACAAACTCTTCTTTTCATATATAGCCACTAGAAAATTTTAAATGAAATAGAATTCTTTTATTTTAAAAGATTACTATGAAGCCTAATTTACACACTTTATATTCCATTTTACTCAAATCACGTAGTTGCTACATTCTCACGGATTATTCCTCAACTCTCAAAAAATAATTAATTTCTAGTAAGAATCACACAATTTTAAATATATAATAATAATAATAAGAAAAAGAACGGATATTTTATCTCTCCCATGCATCATAAAACCGGTGGTTTCAGATGTAAATATAGTTAACACAAAAACGAATAGTTCCAATACACGTTCTTTTAAGAAATTATTGAAATTGATTTATCAATATTCTTTTTAAAAAATTTTTCATATCGATTCGATTTTAAATGGAGCATTTATTAACCCTCTAGTTCCCAAGAATGCCTTGGAGTTTAACTGCTGTGTTAAATTCAGAATTAAACTGCTGTTATAGTATAAAGTCAAAAGTCACTAAAATTACAGCATAAATGAAACCTTCAAATTTTTAATACATGAATCTGAAATTAATTATGTTTATTTATAAACTTTTTTTTAACAAATATCGTTTATTTAGTTTAGGTAAAACCATCTGAAGTAATTTTTTCAAACAAAAAAAAAATTCACGAACTAGAGGGTTAATGTTCATAAAAATTTTTGCGAAAGTCATGTCATCGGCTCGTCAAAATTGCTTCTTTCGGGCTTTGACGAAAATGCGTGTTATGTAAAATGTAATATTTTGCTACTAAAAGACACAACTGTTGACATTCATTACTGAACAACACTGCTTTGCGTAAGTTACGAAGCACAGAAGTCTCGATTCTCATGACCAAATTTAAACTCACATATTATTTTTTTTCTCTCACTCTGTATTTTATAATTTGCAACAACAAACAACAACAATTTTGCTCATGACGTGCGAATGACCACGTTGTTCTATACTCACGTCATTTACTTGTACTTTACAGTGTTTTCTCTCGCGTTTCTCTCTACATAACGTGGCTCTAAGTAAATATTCAAAAACTGTGTGTGAACGGTATGTAAGTTTCGTTGCAGCAAAACCTATCTTTCTCAGTTGTATTTCAAAACACTTTTTGTTTACACACTTTAAATCAAATTCATATATATTAAATTATTACAAGTGAGAGAGGGAAGGTAAACTAAATATTTATATCTTGATTGCTACATAGATTCATTTCCGGCACACCCTAAACAAAATAATTCCCAGTTTATTAGAAAAGGCTATAGTGAAATCATAGCTAAATCTGCTTTTGAAATGCACTCATAAGCCTAAATTAGAAATCCCTTTAGAATTAAAAATGCGTAAAACCAGTTAAACGACCCTTCACTGTACATCAAATAAACACAGTTTCAACCACCCAAAAGTGGAACTATGCTTCTTCTTCTTAAGTTGGTTTTTTAAACCAAACTTATGCATGCAATAATATATCTTCTTGGTTTTTTTTTTACCTTTTTATGGTATCTAGATACGCTAATAAAATTTTTAATTTAAATAAAAAAACCATAGAAAACAAACGTGGATGACAATAACTTTGGCATCATCAAAAATTTTATTATTTATCATTCAATAAACATCGAGTCCTGCCTGCCTGTGCAGCAACATTTTTCAAAACTAATCGATATCAATTAATTCATCGCCAAGACTGAAAATGGAGCGCGCCATGGCAAGGAAAGGGCCGTTTTTAAAAGTGGGGAGTGTCATAAACAATGAAACGGAAGGGTGACGATGGATAGAAACAACTAAACCTAATTAAATAGAAATTGGAATACGAAGGAGACGCGAAAAAAAACTAAAAAAAGCAATAATGTGACAAAGCTCACAATTGAACCAACCTACGAATCAGTCAGTCACAGCACGAAACTACAATAACAACACAGGACACAAGCGTAAACACATACAAAACAAGGACACCGAAGCACACATACAAAAATAGACAGGTTGATGTCATAATAGAGTAAGTCACCGTTTAACGTATGTCATAGACTAGAAGAAGAGAAATGCACATAATTTTTCGTTGAAATGAACATAATAAAGAAACATGAATGGAAAGGAAATAAAATGAAATATAAGGCAGCATAAATGTTTTATTTAAAAAAATCTCAACTAAAATGATTAGAAACATTTAGTGATTCTTCTTAGCAACGCAACGAGCATTAATAAGGGGAGGATGTTTCACATAACGACAAGCCTAAAGGGGAGAGGTGTTAGGCATGCAAGAAGCATGGAATAAGGTTTAAGCAACAAACATTGCACATAAGGCAGACTTAAGAATCACGTAGTTAGGCGCAAGCGAAATTTTGAAACCAAATTATAAGGGTAGTTTGTCAGAGTTAAGTGACAAATATAATAAAATCCTAACACAAAAGTGCAGAATTGTGTTTTTCCAATAAGAAAAAATTCAAGCCACGTTACTAATACTCCAACAGTAAAATGTAATTTTTAGCTTTAAATGAAAGATTTCTAACAAATATTTCAACATTTTATTTAAATAAATATTTTAAAATATAAGTAAATAATTTAAAAATAACATTTATAAACTTTATACAGCTTGTCGAGCTTTTATTATTATAATTAGATTTAAACAAACTGACAAATATTAAATGCAGCGATTAATGTGTAACGATTTTTCATTGCTTGGTAACTTACCGGCAAAAAATGTATTATTTATAATTTACTTTTAAAATTGATTTTGTTTTTTCAATTATTTTCATTCATTTAGTTAGCACTAATCCGCAGTTCTTTTTTTTATTCTTTTTTCACAGTTAACTCACAAACAAACTTCAATTCCAACACAAGTCACACAGCAAACTAATCCCAAGTACTCCTTGAACTCACTTAAACGTCCTTTTTTAATTCGTGTTTGGCGTAAAACTCTCTTGGGAAGAGAGCAGCACAATTATATGAAGCTGTTATGGAGAGCAGTTTTGAACGTCTATGTTTAAAATTTTTATTTGACATTGTTTCTTAACATATGTAATGCAATTTTTGAACACAACTTTTCGGATATACTACTATAAAAACTAAGTTTCCGTAAAACACTTCTTATTAGCAATTGAATGTCTATCTTTCTTGCGTAAATTTATTGTTGTTTTGTACTGTAATGTCAAAAGTAATATGTTGATTTACAGACCAATTGTGTCTATGAAACATAGTTTTTAAAATAGTGTTGTAAAAGAGTATTTTGAGTGTAAATATAATTTAATCACTAAAAAAATTTAAACATAATATAAATAAATTACTGCACAATCTTTTTTTTAACAGATTTTATATATTAAATATGTTAAATTTTCCACACAAACGTTAAAGTTGAACACGTTGTATTAAAGTTGAACACGTTGTATTAAGCATGAAATATAAAATAAAATTAAATAAATATATAGGCATTATTTTCCATTTATGGTATCGAATATTTTCCAAACGTCAGTTAAGCTTTGTTTAATGTAATGTATTGAAAATAAAAATACGATAATTGTTTTATTATGTACTAATACTTGATTATTTCATAAAACATTTTTTAATTCTACATATATTCATAGTAGTACTATTTATATATCTATAATAAATACAGAGTAGTTCTAAGATTTAAGAAAAAATCACTTAAATTTAGTTGAATGTTTTTTTTCTGTTTTTAAATTTAGCTGTTTGTGCTTAACAATACAAACGTATATAAATAATAATGCCTAAATCACATAACAAAATTGTAAAACACTTAATTAAAATAACGATATTAAATTTAACATATATTTATGGAAGTACCAACTTAAACTCAAACTGAACAAAGACTTTATTTTTCAAACTATTTTCAAAACATATCATTTGGCATTTTTCAGAAAAATCTCATCATATGTTATTGCTCACTGGGGGTAGTAATTGTCCATGTTTTTGGTTTTTTTTTTGTTATTTTTTGAAATAAACTACATATATATATTAAATTCTAACTTCAATGTCAGCATTTATTTTTAATTTCAAAGTAAAGTAACGAATATCAAGTGTTAAAGGCAATTTTATGATAACAATACACACATAACATACGATTTGAAAAATTATAATATATGTCAGCAAGCTAAACGTGCGAACAAAATTTATTACGTTTGACACATATAGCATGTTAAAGTAAGATCATATTTTGCCCTAATATTTTTGAAATTAAAATTTTTATAGTATGTTGTTTTATTTGAAAAACAGATACATACTAGAACTCTATTTCAATTACATAAAAGTAAACATTGAATATAATCAATTTATTAAACAGACCTTTAATAATGTCAAAAACTGTTTTTGACACTTGCTATATTTGTTTACATTTTGCATTGCTTTAATTATAAGAAAATTAATAATGAATGGAAATAAAAAATTAACTCTGATGAAAAAATTGCAGCTACCAAACTTTGGCGTAGCACATTGAAAGTTCATAATATGAAATACAATGTGATAACAAAATTACAAAATATGATTTTTCGTAAAAAACTGTTAATCAAAATGATCAAAAACTTGAACACCTATTTTGGTATTGCAATTAACCAAATTAGATGTTCTTTGAAGATGACTATGGTATATAGTCGAAATATCGTAATAATGTTGTAATAAAATGTAATTTTGATTTATTTATTTATATATAAATAATAAATTCTTGTTTTTATTTTGTTGTTTAATTGACTGATTAGCTCGCTTAATAATTAATACATAATTGCACTGCTTGAATTTGATGCAATATATCAATGTCAGATTGCATGGGGTATTGATTTTGGTTAAAATAATAAATTCATTGCATTAATTATTAAGAGTACTAATGTTTTAAAATAAGAATATATATGAATTATGTTGCGATGTTTTAATATTGCATATGTAAAACAAATGAATTTTTCATAGGCTGCTATTGAACAATATTTACGTTTTTCAACACTTTTGAAACACCATATTAACGCGAATGTCATTTGAACTGCCTTACCAACCAAACGACAGCTGTCACTTTGGTTCTTTTCCGGTTTAATTCGCTAACAAGAAGGTACGATTATGTGAAAATTGTAATAAATATTATAAAACATCAACACAAAATGGGTGTTAAACGAATTTTAAATGCTAAATATTGACGCAACAATAGAAAAAGAAATAAATGTGCCTAATATATATTAGCTGTATTAAGAAAATTGTTTGCGAGAAATGAAAACAAAATTTGTGTATTTTAACATTTGGAATGTTTCAGTAATGTTTTTCTTTTCTCGGCAGAAATTAAACAATGTATTCGAGGGAGCCTGAAAATGCTATAAAGTCTTGCAAAGCCCGTGGACCAAATCTACGCGTGCATTTCAAGGTAAATTTAATATATAATGGAATAATATTTTAGTTAAAAATTTATACACTAATCACAAAAACAACACGTCAAAAAAGTGTAGCTGTCAAATTGTTAAGCGGCAGTCGAACGCTGAGCATGCTTTATGATAAACTATGTGGTCAATGAAATATAGTTTGGAATCAATATTAATTATTTAATTCAATTTATTTACCTTTTGGCAAATTATATGGATTTGGTTACTGAAGTGAAAATTGTTATATTGCATCTTAAATCAGTGTTTAAAAGATCTTTTTTGCTTTCTCAACATTTTTGCAAAGATGTTAGAGGAATGTTTGACAGAGTATCAGCTGGAAATATAGTACTTAATCGGTTTTGCATCTAAAGCTCTTGCTACAGTTAATTAGTTAAAAAAACGCTTCATTATATGCATCTAATACCAGTGTGAGAGGGAATCTTTGGTTGTTCTTGCATTTTTAAATGATGCCAAATAAATGTATGCCAGGCATTAGCTGCAAATCTAAATCTTAATTATTGGATTTACTTTAATGCTCCGCTATATAATATTTTATATATATTAACCATGTATATCAATTGGGCACAATAGACAGCTGTGGCGGCCGTTTACAGAGTACGCTTGGAACCACTCTACTTTGAATGAGTGAATTAATATTAAATTTTCTATATAATAACGAAAAAAAAATATAATAGAGTATCTGCATCTAAAATCAGTGTATGAAAGATTATATTACTTTCTTAACATTTTTGCAAAGGTGCTAGAGCAATATTTGGCAGAGTATATCAGCTGGAAATCATGTGCTATATGCAGATTTACTTCTAAAACTCTAGCCACATTTGTTTTAGCTAATAATAATAGTATTGAAGACATTAGAATAATTTATCTGCATCTTAAATCAATGTATAAAAGATAATCTTCCTTTTTTAACATTTTTGCAAAGGTGCTAGAGGAACGTTTGGCAGAGTAGATCAGCTGGAAATCATGTGCTATATGCAGATTTACTTCTAGAACTCTAGCTACATTTGTTTTATCTGATAATAATAGTATTAAAGACATGAGAATAATTTATCTGCATCTTAAATCAATGTATAAAAGATAATCTTCCTTTTTTGACATTTTTGCAAAGGTGCTAGAGGAACGTTTAGCAGAGTATATCAGCTGGAAATCATGTGCTATCTACAGATTTACTTCTAGAACTCTAGTTACAATTGTTTTTTCTAATAATAATAAAAGTACTGAAGACATGAGAATAATATATCTGCATCTTAAATCAATGTATAAAAGATAATATTTCTTTTTTAATATTTTTGCAAAGATGCAAGAAGAATTTTTGGCAAAGCATCAGCTGTATATCTTATCTTAATTAGAGATTTACATCTAGAACTTTAGCTACATTGTCTATTTATAAATGGATTAAAACAATTTAGTTTTTTATTATAAGTGTCTATTAAAGTATACTGATCAATAACCAATCCTAATAGTCACCAAATGCTTAGTGTTATAAAATTCAAGTACCCGGTTTTAAAATGTTAACTTTAAACCTTTCTTTATATTATTTGTTCCAATAAGCCTATTTTTATTTCATCATAAACTGATGGCATTTTTTGCTGTATAATACTAAGATTGAAATTTATTTGGTTTTAGTTAATAAAAAAATGCTAAATAAATATTTATATATAAACAGTGGCTAACTAACGTTACTATGCGTTTGGACACTACCTGATGTATAAAACAAGTATTTCAATATTATAATGTATTTCTTATATATATAATGATTAATAATACTATATATTCACAGAAGCATCTCTTATATTTCCAAAGTGCTCTCGTGAAATCTATTTCTACATTTGGTGTATATATATATTGCTATATTAATTATATATTTCTATATGAATTATATATCATAAATAGTATATTTTTATATATTATATTATATATATATTATAGTATATTTTTGTACTAATTTAGTGCATATTTCTAGATTAAGTGTATATATTATACTAATTTCATGTATATTCCTATATTAATTTAGTGCCTCTATATTATTTTGTTAATGCAAATACTGCATTAAATTGCTTGAGCTCATAGTTCTTTTCATCATAAACTAATTTGCATTTTTTACTTTAAATAATTAAAACACAATTTAATTGGTTTTAATTTAATATAAAAATGCTAAATAAAAATTTATATAAAAACAGTGACTAACCACTTTAATATGTGTTTGGACATTACCTGAAGTATAAAACAAAAATTTACTTTAATATATAGTGAATATATATGTGTAACCAATCCTACTGTATAATTACATATAAACTATTATTAATTAAATGTATTTCTTATTTCTCTTACAGAACACTCATGAAGCTGCTCAAGCTATCAAACGTATGCCACTTCGTCGTGCTCAACGTTTCTTGAAGGCTGTGATTGAAAAGAAAGAGTGCGTACCATTCCGTCGTTTCAACGGTGGCATTGGTCGTTGTGCACAAGCCAAGCAATGGAAAACGACACAAGGTCGCTGGCCAAAGAAATCAGCTGAATTCTTATTGCAACTTTTGCGCAATGCTGAAGCCAACGCTGACTACAAAGGTCTCGATGTAGATCGCTTGGTCGTTGATCACATACAAGTCAATCGTGCACAGTGTTTACGCCGTCGTACATATCGTGCACATGGTCGTATCAATCCATACATGTCATCACCCTGTCATGTTGAGGTCATTCTTACCGAAAAGGAAGAAGTTGTCTCCAAGGCTCCCGAAGATGAACCAGCAAAGAAGAAGCTGTCCAAAAAGAAGATGCAAAGACAAAAAGAAAAAATGATGCGTTCGGAAGCTTAAGTTAAAATTTATATAAATTTTTTTTTGTTCAATAAAAATCATTGAACAAATGTTTTTATAAGAATTTTAAATTGTTTAAAACGTTTTTTTTAAGTCGTAATTTTATATTGCCTACTTTTAGGGTTGTGACAAATAGTTATTTTTTTTTCGCTATGTGATTAATGTGCATTTGAGCTTGTGGCTTCCATGCAGTTTTCCAGTTTTTGTTGATTGCGGACAGAATTTATTGTTTCCGTTTCATATTGTCGCGTTTTAGAAAATTGCACACCTTGTTTTTTTTAATTGTTCCAAGCACAATTGTACAACAAAACAAACAAAATTGTATAAATGCAACTAAAATTAACAACTATGACTTCTCTTGACCCTGCTCTGAATCACAATTTATTTATTATTCCATTTTTTTGTTGCAATAATGCCTTTTTTTAAATCGATTTTCTCCTAATGAAATCCAACAAAAAATTGTTTATTTTCTTTTTTTGTGTCTTAAACACTTACTTTCTTTTGTATTATGAAAATGAAATAAAAATTTGTTTATTAATTTTTAAATTGTTGATTTAGTAAATTTACAAGTACACATGCTTGTGAGATAATGACCCTTCAACCATTTAAGATGCTTAAGGCTTAAGATATTTTAAATTTTACTGCTTCAGCACACATATTAGCGCATATTTAGACTTTTTATAAATAATTTTTTATTCAATAATGTAAACAAACTATATACATTTATTGTAATAATTTTAGTTTTGTTCCTTTTATGCATATCGCTCATCGCGTTTATATATTATATTTTCGACAATTTGTCTCATTAATTGAAGTACTTAGTTACTTAGTTAGTTTTTTACATTTGATTGTGCCCGCCTGCCTGCCAGCGTCGGTATTGTTGCTCTTACTAACATAAATTATCATCGACTTTTGGATTTTTTCTTCATTTCAAGCTGTGTGACAATTTTTCTTGCAATGCAAATTCATTAAATTAATTCAATTTGTACGCAACAATTTTTTCGTTGTTATAAATTGGATTTTAATTTTTTTCTTTTTATATTATTATTATTTTTTTTTTTTTGAAATTATTAATGTACTCAAAGACATATATTCAAAGATAATTGTACAAATCTATTTTACTTAGTTATTAATATGTTTATTTCTTGAGATTTATGGAAAGGTCATAGATAAGAATGCTCTTGATGATGTTTCCTGCTTCCGTATTATTTAGGTCAAGAAAGTATTTTATGTATTAAGAAACACCTGTTCATATCGAAGGTAAGTCAGGATAGGTTTAATATAACGAAAACAAAGATATAATAATATAATACGTGGAGATCTTTAGAGCGGATAGACATGACATTGAAAGAATTATAAATTCTCATAGTATACATGGGTTCAGATACTAATAACAGAGGCATACTAATATAACGCCTGGAGATCCATAAAGCGGATAGACATGACATTAAAAGAATTATAAATTCTCATAGTATACATGGGTTCAGATACTAATAACAGAGGCATACTAATATAACGCCTGGAGATCCATAGAGCGGATAGACATGGCATTAAAAGAATTATAAATTCTCATAGTATACATGGGTTCATATACTAATAACAAAGACATGCTAGAAATCTATAGAGTCGATAGATATGACATGAAAAGAATTATAAATACTTATACATGGGTTTAGATATGATTAGCTAAAGGAAGTGTCCAAGAGGAGGGGATTGTTTGGGAACAACTGTGGTTTAAATATGAATGGAATCGTAATTAAAGTTTAAACCAGTTGAAGTAGTGCTTGGTTATGTTAAAAGAGTAAGCATTAAGGCTTTGGTATCCTTCCTCCTGTCTAACATGCAAAGCTGCCAAATTTTTTTGTACTCAACAAAAGAAAAGAAAAAAGTGATTAAAAAACACTATAAAATATTAATTAAAAAACAAACTTTTATCTTATTAAACAGTTATAATAATATATAAACATACGTTAGATTAAGTTGGAGTGACGGTCTTGTGACGAAATTTAGCTTGAACTCAAATAATGTCACGTTGTGATACCACGGATTAATGTTGTTTATACGCAGACTGGAAATCACCGTACGAACAACTTCGAATGTCACAACTCCAAGCGAATGTTAACCAACTTAACAAATCTAAAAACTTGGCGGGATGACAGCACTGTCAGGTCGGTGAGAAAAATGACCCTAAAGATATTAAATTTTATAGCCAATGATGAAGACTGAGACATAAGGTGAACTACAGTTTTCTTTTCATCCTGCGGAGCCACAACTCCGATAAAATCCGTCTTTGCAAATTGTCCAAATAGTTAATCCCCAAAGCATATTTAATATAGACAAAAACATAAGAGATATTCATACATCTCTTTTCTCTTATTTCCTGCATTCGCACGATTGGTAATCCTTATCTTATATGCATGTGACGCGTAAAACTATGACCCGTCGGCATGATAAATATCGTTTTAGATTGAACGATTATCGCAATGAATTTTAAAGCAATAGAGACATAGTGAAGATCCAGCGGTCATGCTGTGAAAATGTACGATAACGATTTAGTCAAAAAAACTAATATTATGTAACCTGGTAGAATTTATTTAATTTAGCTGGCTTAAACGCGAGAAATACAGAAATAAATGGTAACGTAATGGTAACTTGACTAAGACTGGTTTACAACCATTTTTTTGGTATTCTAAGGACCTATTCATTAGAAATGTAGTCGAACTAAAATATCTTCAAGTTCTTTGTAATTCTAATATCGGAGCTTTCCAATTTCTTTATGTATACAGCTTTTATTGTTCAGAACCCAACTTGCTTTAAAAAAAATTGATGAAATGTAATATATAATAATGTATATAGGTTAATTTTGGCTACTGAACAATTGTTTACATATGTAAAAATGGCTTCTAGCAGTTTCATCTCAATCACCTAGCAATTCCACCTAGCAAATCATCTAGTTCTAACTCAATTACCATCGAGGAATTCCAAATCCGATTCAACATCTGATTTTTTGCTCAGAGTATAACATTTAAACATGATTTAAGATATATTAAATTTGAATTAACAAATAAGGAAAGATATTTCAGCTGCTGGAAGATATTTGAGATGTTCGAAGATATTTGTGCTGCTCGAAGAAATTTGAGTTGGTCGTAGAAAACGGGGAAAAATATAAACGAGTTTATCTGCTTTTTCATTATGATGGGTAGATATATAGAATAACTGCATACCTACATCACATCACAATATGGATATCACAATTATCTTGAAAGGCTGCAGTGACGTGGTGACAAAGTTCCTAACCCTTTCTAAATCTACATACCTGCAAGACTTATGGCAACACGATGGGTCATCTAAATAAATCCCTAAAATCATCATGATAACCTAACTTAACCTATTTGTTATTGTTATCGCTATCTCATTATTGCTGTCTCTGATATTCCTTTTTATAAAAGAACACAATATTGACTTTAATTAAAATAGTAAAGATGATAATGATAGTGTTGTGGAAAGGTCAAAGGTAAACTCATAGAGATCACCGACAAATTATGAATAATAAATGTAAAGAAACAGAAAAGATTTCATTTTTGCTTTGAAACTTTGATATCTGAGCTGTGTCATCAAGTGAAATCAAATCAAATCAAATAAATTTAATTGTATTAATGCATAAATTAAAAAAAAGAATTCAATTCAAAAAAATTTCACATCAAATGAAAAAAAAAAAAAAATTTGAATAAATGAAAAGAGCGCCAAAGCGCGAATTAAGCTTAAATGCGATTTGAAAAGATTTAATTTACACGATCGTTTGAATTATCGTGCATTATCGTATGTTCTAGGATGGCGGGATGTATGTGGACAACAATGCCGTCCGGAGGGTAGACGCTTGTGCTGCTGCGGGTTCCACCATCAAACTCAGATTTTGCGAGCACAGTTTTAAATTAACCGCGTTCTAAACAACGTTTAACTTTAATTCAATACTTAGTCCGACCCAAAATCGTACGCTGAACGTGTAATTAAATACTTACATTTTAATTAAGAAAATAAAAAATTATAAATTTAATATAAAAAAATAAATAATAAAAAAATTCAAATAAAAAAAATTAAATTTTAAATTTTCATTTGAAAAATTCAAACAAATTCTTTATGTGCAAAACTTAAGTAAATTTATGTGAATACTTAAAAAAATTATTTTTGTAAAATATTATATATGAAATAAAATTATTACAAATAAACTTTAAATACACAATTTATTTCAAATATCAATTGTTTACATAATTAAATCTTTTCTACATAAGTTATTAACAATGGATAAATCCATTATCAATATATCAATGTACAATCAATATATATTTTTTTTGTCAAACTATTATTATTTTATACAAATTAAATTAATAAAAAATTAATAGAATTTAATTTTTTTTTTGAATTTGGAAGTGATTGAAAATAAACTTGACTTATGGCAAATGATCTTTAAAATGTTCGAATAAACAAATTTAATGAGCAGATTAAAATTTATAAAAGAAATAATATCTTTTACGCATAATAAAAATATTGAAATATTTTACTTCATTCACTCATTCACTCATCCATTCATTTTGCATTGATCGTTTAAGATCAGCGATGTCGCAGTCGAAAAAATCACGCGCACACTTCATTTTACAACAAATGGGCAAAAAGTGGCTCACCTTTGTTTAATTCTTTGAATAATTTTTGAATTTATATACTATAATCATATGACCAATATTTTATTATTATACTTCTTCTTTATTATCTAAATATCAGACAAAACAATGGCTTAAGTTGTTTGTTTTCAATTTTGCTGTTGATTGTAAAAATTGGTTCATAATTCGAGGGGAATCCCTTTTTTATACAACACAAGAATTTCCAAAATAACGAGCAAGTTCTTAGAAAACCCACTCTACAAGTACTTAAGAATACTTGAAAATGGTACACAATATATTATTATTACAATAGATAAATAAAATTTTTTTTATATTTTATTTAAACTGTGTGTTATCGCAGAGGTGCATAATTACATATAGAACCAGTCAAACTTCCATAAATCGAACTTCTA